GACACTATGCGAAGTGAAGGAAGCCAGTCACAGAGGGACAGAGACTGCACGACTGCACTTGCGTCAAATTCTCAGAGGCAGAGGAGGATGCAGGCGGCCAGGGGCAGGGGCGGGGAATGGGGAGTTAGTACTTAATGGGGACCGGGACACTATGCGAAGTGAAGGAAGCCAGTCACAGAGGGACAGAGACTGCACGACTGCACTTGGCGTCAAATTCACAGAGGCAGAGGAGGATGCAGGCGGCCAGGGGCAGGGGCGGGGAATGGGGAGTTAGTACTTAATGGGGACCGCGTTTCAGCTTGATGACTTGAAAAATGCTCTGGAGGTGGATGCTGGTGATGGTGGCATTATATACAGTTCAGTGTATATTACTGAGCTACACATTTTTAAAACTGGTAAGATGGTAAGTTTTTTGTTAGGTGTATTTTAAGAAAATTTTTAAAAATTAAAAAACATAACCAGAAGCAAAAATAGCCAGACCCAGAGTACACAGTACATGGCTCCGTTTATGTAAAGTTAAAAAACCGGCCAAACTAATCTGTGCTTTCTGGCCGGGACACGGTTCCCTCACTGGTCAGTGACCGGAAGGTGCCCGAGGGCTTCTGGGGTGCTGGCTCTGTTCCCTTTCTGAATCTGGCACTGCTCACCCAGCTGTGTTCACAATGAGAAAATTCACTGAACTGGACATTTTGACTTGTACACTTTCTGTATGGTACACTTTAATAACATTTACAAAAGCAAAACAGAAAAGAAAAACGTCAAGGAGAAAAAGATGCAAAACATTCAATACAGGACAAGATAGCAAAGGAGGGATAGAGGAACAGAGAAAGAGAGGAGAGTAGAGGAACTTCTCTCTGAGAAAACCTGTGTCAGCTACATACACAACTGGGCTAAGAGGTTCCCGGTAGCCCAGGCAAAGAGGGGAGGGGGCTGAGATCCGTAAAGCTCTCTATGCCTCAGTGGAGGGCCAGGAGAGACAGACTTCTCCCAGACCTAAGCTCTACGAGATCTTTGGAAATGTCAACATTATTCATATTTACAGCACACAGACCTCCCCTGCAGGGTCGCTTTTGGGCTGTGTCAGGGGCATGGTGCCATAGCTCCATTCTGTCCAGGCATGTGGCTTCTCTGAGACCTGGATGGTGAGCCAGCTAGTGAGGGGTCCAATTCGTCCTCTGGCAGCCTACTTAACTTCCTCCATACAGAGCTGTTCTGAAATAAGACACATGGGTCCCTGATACAGTGCCTGGCACCAAGCAAGACTCAGGAAATGCTCCTCCTCACCCTACTGGACAAAGTGTACAGAACCTGGAGGACGGAGACTCTTCCCTTCTAGAAAATGTACCTATGTGGTGTGTGCCTGGTGGATGCCATCAATGCTTCAGGAAGAAGTGTGCGTGCAGGTGTGTGCGTGTGCATGTGTGCATATGTGCACACACATGCACGTGGCCTGTGTGTGTGAACGTGCATTTGCATGGGGGGGTGTGAGTGTAAGGACAGTAGCTAATGCGTGGTGCTGTGGTGCCATGTGCTGTTTTGAGCACCTTACACACATCAACACGTTTCATCCTACTCAGCTTGAGAACTTAGGGGCTATTTCTATCATCATCATCTCGACTTTTCAAATGAACAAACTGGGAGGCAGAAGGGTTTAAGAATGTGCCTAAGTTCACCCAGCATGTGGCAGGGTAAAGGTTCAGACCCAGGCATTGTAGCTTCAGGTACAGAGAACTTTCTAGGCCATGCTGCCACTTGCCCCCATGCTGGTGCACAGAAACCAGCGTGAGGCATCCACCACCCACCTTGCTGCCCGTTTCTCCTGTTTTCCCTCACCAGCAATTCCTGAGATGTGGGACATTTGAGCAATTGGCAGAGGTTGCAACATTGACAAGAAAGGAAAGCTGCTGTCTCCTGGGACTTGGTGGGCAAGTCCAGCTGCCGTCAACAGCCTTGAGCACAGGGGTCAGTGCTGCAGCAACATTCGCATGCTGGTTGCTTGAGGCAGTTCTGAGAAGAAGCCAGTCAAGGAATCCCCAGGGCCCTCCACCAACAGTGCCCTGGCCTCTCCGCCTAGCCCAAGAGTGGCCTGGGCTAGTCCCAGGGACACTGTGCCCCTGCTCCCTTTCACCTCACTCAGGACTCAAAAGCCATGTTCAACAGGAGCCACATGGGCCCACAGATGCACTTGTTAAGCTCAGGATGCTTGAAACATTTTTAAATCAGTTATTTAAAATCAAGAGATTTCACTATAAATTTTCACAATGATGAATATGCTGACTACCCTGATTTGACCATCACACATTGTATACATGCATTGAAATATAATTCTGTACCCCATAAATATGTACAATCAATACATTTCAATTTAAAAATAAATTCCTTTAAACAAATCAAGAGATAAGAGATATCCTATAAAAATCCTGAGTCCCAGCTTTTCTTGAAAAATGCAGATATGGTAGCACCATGCCCGAGTTCTCAAAAGGCAACACTGGCAGAGCTCAGTGGCTTCCGCGCCCTTTCAGCAGCACACACTTGCCAGTTCTCCACAGTCCCCACCACTCCCTATCACCTCTCATCCAGCCCACGCTCCACTCACATGGCTCTGCCAGGTATTCACTCATCTCTTCTGCTTTGACCTCCAGGGCACAGACTTCCCCCAAGGACACTGGGGCCAGGATAAGTAGGGAAGGGGTCCTGAGCCACAGAAGGTGGAAATGGGAAGCCATGCTTGTCATGGCCGTAAGTGCCTACAAGAAGCTCAAGTGAGCAGGCACAGGACATACAGGGGAAAGTCCAGGGGCAGAGAGTCCCCAGGAGGACCCGCCTCCT